TGGCGGGGGGAGTGGGGTGGGGGGGTTGGAGACAGCAGAGGCCGAGGGAGCCGTGGAGCCGAGGAGGGAAGGGGAGAGAGGAGAAGAGAGGAAGCAGGGGGAGGAGGGAGGGAGCTAGGAGCCAGAATGGGGGGTGCCTTGGCAGAGTTAACTCCTTCCGTGCCGGCAGGAGCCCGGATAATGGGAAAGGAGATAGAAGCAGAAACGGAGAGGTCCTGTGGCAAATATGGAGACTTGGCCAGCCACCAGCGACAACAGCAAAGATGATGAGCATGGATTTCGTTTCTCAGAGGAGGATGAACCCATAGTTGGGCTGGGAGCATCCACTGTTGTTTAACTACTGGAGGGAGGCCATGGTAGGGGGTAGGTGTGAGGGAGGGGCTGGCAGGGGGAATCCCTGAGGGTGTAGTTCTCCCCCAGGAATCACAGGAGGAAGCCTGAAAAGTAATTATGTCCTGGACTCTTTAGTGCCTGAAATTGGGGTAGGCAAAGGGGGAAGAGGGAGAAGGGGCCACAGGACCAGAGACAGTGCATTCTCAGTGCCCCCAAGCCCTTGGGCCACTGACTCAGGATTTTGTCTCCAGGGCCCCCAAGTCTCAGTTTAATATTAGCAATACTTTGTTCACCCCTCCAGCCCTGCCTGCTCTCTCAGGAAGAACCCACTGCCACCTCCTTACCTGACTCTCTGAGATGGAGGCCTCATAATAGTCCAGGATGTCTGTCACAGGAACAGAACTGAGTTACCCTCTCCCACCCCAGGCCTCTCCGGCCACCCTGCCATCATCTCTGCTGTCTGTCTGGTAAGGGAGGAGCTCCTCCAGCCAAAGCTGGTCGGACTCTGATGGAGGACACTGTGGGGATGACCTTGCGTGGGGCTTCAGTTTGGACCAAATAATCTCCAGGCTCCCAACCAGCTCTGAAGTTCAGCAATTGCCTTCACATGCCCAAGCCAGCCCTCTCCACCACTGCCCCTCAGAAAACTAGGGCTACTCACCCAGCAAGGCCTGGAAAAGGTCACTGTGCAGCACTGTGAGGAGGGGGGGTGCCCACCGCAATAGCGGGGGCGCCAGGAGCCAGAGGGCTGACCTGGGAGCTGTCAAAATGCGAGTGACGGAGGATTGGGACATGAAGAGACAAACACAGAGACTAACTCAGTCACCTCATCTTCCCCAGCCTTTGTCCTTTCACCCCAGACCCTAAAGAAAGATTCAAGGAGAGGGATCCCCGAGTCCCAGCCCCCTACTTTGCTCCCAGGCCTTCCCTCCACAAGGACCCCTGTTTTTCACCTCTTGGTCTCTGGGACATCTTTCTCTTCTCTTACTTTAATCTCCCTAATCCGCTAGGATTGGAGTTGAGCTGCCTTCTCCTCACCCAATTCTAGCTGTTAGGTAAAGTAGGCAGTCTGAACCAACCACTATCCCATTCTTGTCTAAGTCCCAGGCACCATCACCCCACCTTACTCCACACACCCTGGCCCCCTCTACCCAAAGCCAGGCATAATTTAGCCACAGTTTCCTGAGAAACCGGGGAGGAAGAGTCTCTCCCACGGAGGCTTTGGTAGCTCAAAAAGAAAGGAAGCTGAGGCCAGCTCTCTCTCCTCCTGGGCTTGAGCCCAGTGGGAATTGCAGAAAGAGGGGTATAAATTGCTTGGGACTTCTTGACACAGGGCTAGAGAAGTGTGGGAGAGAAAGGGGACATGAGAATTCCTACAGTTCCTCTCAGGCCTGGGAAGAATCCATCTGCCCAGAGGTTCAGCCTGGGCACATGGTCTCTGGAAGGAACAGAGGGGCAAAGAGAGACAGATGCTCAGAAAGGTCTCTGAGGCCTTCAGAGAGAGGCAGTGAACCCGGGGGTCCCTCCTACTATGAAATCTTAGGTGTTTCAAGAGTTAGTGACACCTCCTAGGTATCAGAATATGCTTGGGACACTGACACCCCAGCTTGAGTCCCCCACCCAACTACTCCCCTCCCTTTTGTGTTGGTGGAGACGGATTTCACAAGGAACACCAAAGAGTGGTCTTTCCACGCCTCTGCCTCTGGCATCTACCTTACACTTCTCTCTTCCCACTTCTCTCTTCTAACTTCACCTGGGAAGTCCTCCCTTCAGTCTATCTCCGTCTCTCTGGCCGCAGTCGTCTAAGCTCCTCCCTCTTCCTTCCCATCTATCCCATCACCCCTTCAGAGGACTAGAGTCCAGTTCGGACAGGCGGGATGAAGGAGTTTGGGGGAGACCCGGGACAGTTGACGATCACTCTCGATCAGCCAGGAATGAGGGGGCCGCGGGCGGTCGGAACTACAACTCCCAGCATGCCCCGGCGCCCGGAAGCCCCGACCGCCCGCCGCCCGCCGCCCGGTGCATTGTGGAGGATGAGTCAGGGCTGGGGGCCCCCGACTTGGGCAGGCGGGACGCGAGCGCTAGATCAACGCTCCGGGCAGTGTCGGCCCGTGCGGCCGGAAGATGCAGGCAGCCCGGATGGCCCCGAGTGTGGGGCGGCAGCTGATGAGGCTGGGGGGCGGAAGGTCCGTGTATGACAGGGGGATGGGGGCAGCGGGCCTGGGGACCGGACCAGAACTGAACCCCCACTCCCTACAGCTCGCGGCCCACTGCGCTCCTGGGGCAGCCCCGGCCTGGTTCTACCCGGCGACCGTATGCCAGCGGGGCCGCTCAGGTAAGCGACGGCAGCCTTGGGAGCGGGTGTGGGAGTAGGGGATCTGCCTCGGCTCCCACCTCCCCACCGCCGGCAGGGGTCTCCCTATTCGTCCCAGTCACCTTCAGACTGCTCTGGCGCCGAAAGTAGGGGAAAGGGCAAGCCACGGTGCCCTGGGGTAAAACTAGGGGAAAGGTTACTGGATCCGCCCAACCCCCACACCCAGCCCTGGTCCTGTGCTCGCCTTGGCACACCGAAGTCCCTTTCCAGTCCTCGCCAACCATCTTTTCCTAGGCGGTTATGGACAAGTCAGATTCTCTCTCCTCTGATGCTTCAACCAGGGAAAAACGGGCCAGCGCGGTACGTGTCCCTGAGGCCGGGTAGACCTAAGCCAGGGGCAGACACACCCCAGCTAGCTCCCTGAAACCCCCTTCTCCCCACCCAGGAATCTAAGTCCTTTGCTGTGGGGATTTTCAAGGGCCAGCTCACCACCGATCAGGTGTTCCCGTTCCCATCTGGTAAGGGCAGGGGTAGTCAGAGCTGGGTGGGGACAGGGAGGTTTCCTCTGATGGCCTTGCTTAACCGGCCTGTCTCTTCCCCTCACCCGCCACAGTGCTCAACGAGGAGCAGACACAGTTTCTCAAGGAGCTGGTGGGGCCCGTGTCCCGTTTCTTTGAGGTGAGGAATGACTGCACCTTGCTGCCTGATGGGGTGGGCAGAGATGTTAAGGAGCTTAAAAGGAGCCTAGATGTGGGATCCTGTGCTTTCTCCAGGAGGTGAACGATCCTGCTAAGAACGATGCTCTGGAGCTAGTGGAGGAGACCACTTTGCAGGGCCTCAAAGAGCTGGGGGCCTTTGGTCTGCAAGTGCCCAGTGAGCTGGGCGGTGTGGGCCTCTGCAACACTCAGGTGAGGGAAATCCCCTCATCACTTCCTGTATCCCATTCTACTCCAGCTTGGCCGATTCAGCAGGGCTAAAGTTTCTTCCAAACGTCTGCCCTGGAGGCCCGTGGGACATTGACTCTCCCTGCAACATACCCCCCACACACCCCTGCCACTAACAGGTAACAATCCATATGCAGTCCCCTAGGGCCATGGGCCTCACCCTGGTTCCCAAGTCCTTATAAACTCTTAAGTTGGGGACTGCTGGACAACACAGTAGGAAGTCTCCTTCCCACTAAGACAGGACAGACCAACATCCTCTCCTGCACCCTTTTTATAGTCCTGCTTCCTCTCTCCACTCACTCTTGGGGATGGCTCAAGTCAGATCCTGCCCTGTTGCCAACATTCTTGCTAAGGGCAGGCCCCCATTCAGCCAGTTATAGCCCCATATGTCTGCTTCCCTTCCAGTACGCCCGCCTGGTGGAGATCGTGGGCATGCATGACCTTGGAGTGGGCATAACCCTGGGTGCCCATCAAAGCATTGGTTTCAAAGGCATCCTGCTCTTTGGCACGAAGGCCCAGAAAGAAAAATACCTCCCCAAACTGGCATCTGGTGAGGCAACCCTAGGAGACTCAGGGATTAGAGCTGTCCTGGGCTTGGCACATATTAGGCCACCACCTACTTAGATCACTGCATAGCTGGACATGTCAGTTGGGGGAAGATTCTGGGGAGGCACCACAGTTTGCTGGTGGGGGGATGCAATGAAACCAGATATTGCCAGAGTAATTAGGGGGAACTGCCTTGGGGGATGGGGAAGAGGGCTGAGGGGACTTTGATGCCCATCTGGCCTCATGGTAAAGGAGCTTTCTCCCTAACAGGGGAGACTTTGGCTGCTTTCTGTCTAACCGAGCCCTCAAGTGGGTCAGATGCAGCCTCCATCCGAACCTCAGCTGTGCCCAGCCCCTGTGGGAAATATTATACCCTCAATGGAAGCAAGATTTGGATCAGGCAATGTTCCTCTCATTTCTCCCTTCACCTCCCCCTCTGCCCAATTCCAGGTCCCCCTGCTCCCCATCCTCCATGACCTTACTGCCCCCTCATTCTTCCACAGTAACGGGGGCCTGGCAGAAATCTTCACTGTCTTTGCCAAGACACCAATTACAGATGCAGCCACAGGGACCGTGAAGGAGAAGATTACAGCTTTTGTGGTGGAGAAGAGCTTTGGGGGTGTTACCCAGTGAGTGGGTTTGGGGAGGAAGTAGTAGAACCAAGGAGGGGGCACTCCTGGGCTCTAGGGCAGAGGGTTGTTACAGATCATCCTGGGATGTGTGGAAAAGTCAAAGCAGGTGGATGGCATGTTCCCTTTGGGACTAACATGTAGGAACTGATCTAAAGCTTTGGCTCCAGCAACCAAGTCCAACACAAAGTGGCAGGACATGGCCAGGACTCCTCAGCACTCAGGGCATGTGGGAAAGTTTTACCCTCTTAGTGTACCCTCTTACATTGTCGGAGTTGTAGTTCCTCCCTGGCTCATAGGGAATGAAGGGGCAGTTTTCCCCCCAGGGGCAACCTGTTCAGCACACTCTGCTTTCCCATCCCGCCCTGTCAGTGGGCCACCTGAGAAGAAGATGGGCATCAAGGCCTCAAACACAGCAGAGGTGTACTTTGATGGAGTACGGGTACCGGTGGAGAACGTGCTGGGAGAGGTGGGCAGTGGCTTCAAGGTTGCCATGCACATCCTCAACAACGGAAGGTTTGGCATGGCTGCGGCCCTTGCAGGCACCATGAGAGGCATCATTGCTAAAGCTGTGAGTACCCTGCCTGAATCTCTAGCTAGCCTGAAACTGAGTCAGTCTCCTTTCTATGTGTCCCTCTTGCCTTGCAGGCACTCCCTACACCAGAGACCCCTCCCCAACTGGCAGCTGCAGACCTGCTAGTTTAGGTCTCCATCCAGGGCAGGCCGAACTCTTGGTTGTGGCCAAAGCCCATCTCCAGCCCAAGCCCAGCCCCTCTCCTGGGGAGACTATAGAACCATAGTGAACCACAGTAGGACATGTGTGCCCTCTTCCAGGTGGATCATGCTGCTAACCGTGTCCAGTTCGGGGAAAAAATTCACAACTTTGGACTGATCCAGGAGAAGCTGGCCCAGATGGCCATGCTGCAGTATGTGACTGAGGTGAAGACCTCCCTGGAGCCCTGCAGCTTTCTTCCCAGTCGGGTCAGACTACAACCCCCAGCAGCACCTGGGGCAGTGGGTCTCCAGCTTTACACCAATGCCCTAGGGGATGCGGAGAGGCATAGTCAGCTCAGCTTCTGCAGAAGGGGGAGACCAATGTTGTTCTGCTGAGGTGCTTCCCAAAAGTACCAGAAGTTAAATCTACCTCCATCTCCACCCCTTTCAAGAAGTCAAATGCCTGGAAGCCCCTGATGAAATGACTCAGGGGACCAAATATTTACACGTGCCTGATCTGATCACAGAATTAGTAAGGTGAATGCAAGGGCCATGGAGAGCTAGGTCAGACCTGGTCTTGGAGATGTAGGTGATCAGGTTGAGTCTGACCCAGCCCTTTTCAATTTCCCTTCCCATGTCCCAACCATGCAACCTCAGTCTATGGCTTACATGGTGAGTGCCAACATGGACCAGGGATCCACGGACTTCCAGATAGAGGCCGCCATCAGCAAAATCTTTAGCTCGGTGAGGTCCTAGGCATGCTGGGAAGGAAAAGTCCAGTTTGGGAACTCAGCTCCAAAATCTCATCTGGTTCTTTGTCCCTAGGAGGCAGCCTGGAAGGTGACAGATGAATGCATCCAAATCATGGGGGGCATGGGCTTCATGAAGGTATGGGAAGGTCATTTGTACAGGGTAGTCTCCATCGGACTGGGTGGAGCAGGTAGGCACATCTCAGGGACTTGTGATCTCTCTTCCCGGTGGTAGGAGCCTGGGGTAGAGCGTGTGCTCCGCGATATTCGCATCTTCCGGATCTTTGAGGGGACAAATGACATTCTCCGGCTGTTTGTGGCTCTGCAGGGCTGTATGGTAAGAGGGAGGAAATTTGGCGGGAGGAGGTAGGGGAGGACAGTGAGTCTTGACTGTTGGGACCTCCTCTCCCACAGGACAAAGGGAAGGAACTCTCTGGGCTTGGCAATGCTCTAAAGAATCCTTTTGGGAATGCTGGCCTCCTGCTAGGAGAGGCAGGCAAGCAGCTGAGGCGGTAAGCTTAAGGCCAGGGCCCAGGGAGGACCAGGTGGTGCATGGCAACTAACTATTCTCCCCCTTCCTCTAAGGCGAACAGGGCTAGGCAGTGGCCTGAGTCTCAGTGGAATCGTCCACCAGGAGTTGAGTCGGAGTGGTGAGCTGGTAAGGAGTCAAGGGTGGATGAGGGGGAGCCTCCGTCCAAGGCTGCTGGGAATGGCCCCTCGGAGCACTGCGTACCTTCCCCATCTCTTCAGGCAGTGAAGGCTCTGGAGCAGTTTGCCACCGTGGTAGAGGCCAAGCTGATCAAACACAAGAAGGAGATTGTCAGTGAGTAAACTCTATCCCACTCCCACCCGGTCCCTGTTCTCCCTCACACTAATGCCCCCACCCCCGTCCATCTACCTGACAGATGAACAGTTTCTGCTGCAGCGTCTGGCAGATGGGGCCATCGACCTCTATGCCATGGTGGTGGTTCTCTCAAGGTGAGGAGGCAGTGTGTGAGGCCTGGGCCACAGCGACGCCTGGGCCACGGTCACAACCTAGATTTATTTTCTTCTGCTTCCCACCAGGGCCTCAAGATCCCTGAGTGAGGGCCACCCCACAGCCCAGCATGAGAAAATGCTCTGTGACAGCTGGTGTATTGAGGTGAGACTCAGGGCTACCAAGGGCAGGTGGAGGGCTTGAGGCACAGGCCTAAACGCCTCCTTCCCTCCCTCCCCAGGCTGCAGCCCGGATCCGGGAGAACATGGCTGCTCTGCAGTCTGACCCCCAGCAGCAGGAGCTCTTCCGTAACTTCAAAAGCATCTCCAACGCCTTGGTGGAGCGGGGTGGCATGGTCACCAGCAACCCCCTTGGCTTCTGAATACACCCAACCAGGGCCTAGCCTGGTTACGTGCCTTCTCAATCAAGCCAAAGCCCAGGCCCCTTTCCAGGGGGCCCTGGTTTGCCCTGGAGGAGCCTGGTGTTCCCAGGACTGTGCCTGCTCTCAGGAGCACTTACTGCCTTACAGATAGTAAAGTTTCTAACAAGTCACACTTTGTTGCTGTGTCTCACTACTTTCCCTCTGCTGCCTGCCTCCCTCCCAAAGAAAGGAGCCAGAGGCGTGGGGAATTTGCCTCTATTGCTTTATTTGGTGTTTTATACAAGTAACTAAAATAAATAGAGTAACAAAGGCAGCTACATGGCCTCCAAATGCCAAATACCCCAGCTTCCTTGCACTGCTGTCTAGAGTGCCCAACCCCTTTCCTCCTTCCAGGGTACCACTGACCACCCCCCACCCTGCACAGGGCAGAGCTGACTGGGTGACTAGAAGAGGAGGTCACATTCTGGGGCTGGAAGAAAGGGCCCAGGAAATGGGGATTCTTCATACAAAAGAGAAAATGTCTATTAAAAAAATAGTCCCAAAAAGTAAGAAAGTCTATTTTAACCCCATAAAAGCTTATAAAAAAAAAATAAAGCTAAAAATATTCAAAGGTCCCTTGTCTACCCCACTAATGGAAGCGGGAGGAACAGGCACTGCTGGTGAAAGTCACAGTGGCAACAACCTCACAGCAGGCAGCAGCAGACAGGCTGAGCCTGGGCACCATGAGGAGTAATGAGCACATGACTGATGAGCCAACCAGTCACAGGACAGGAGCACCAACACAGGACTGGACAGGCCAAGGATGGACAGCCAACATGGCCCCACAATGGGCTCTACATTACATCTACAAAGAACTCACTCGGGTTGCCCATGGCCATGTGGAAGCTTTGGCGGCTGGCTGTCAGTTCTGGGGGCACTGAGCCCAGGTCTCTGACTGGAGGGGCCCCTGGGGGCTGCACTGCTGGAGGGACAGGGGGTGGGGGTGGGGGCATCATGACCACCATCATGGGGTTATAGGGAAGGGCCATGCCAGGGGGTGGTCCATAGGGATGGAGTCCTGGATGGGCTCGGAGATTGGGAGCACCCCCTGTTGTGCCCCTGGATGGTGGAGGGCCCCCTTCGCCAATCCCACCAGGTTCCCCGCCCCGCCGAAGGCTGCCCCCTCGACTGGAGGGCTCAGACTCACTGCCACTGCCAGACTTGGACTCAGGGGCCCGCTCCTCAGGCCTCCCTGTACGCCCTGCCCCCCCATCGCTTCGTGTTGACCCACTGCTCCGGCTCCCTGTGTGAGGAGAGGGAATGAGACACCTGAGCCCAGGGTCCTTTGGCTTTCCCAGCCCCTGCTCCAGCCTCTCCTCCCTGGTTGCCCTGTGCTCTGCCCTCAGACCCCGGCTGTATCAGCATCTGGGGGTGACTTACCCTCACTGTGCTGGCTGCTGGCACTGCCCCCGCCGTAGGTATAGGATGAAAGCTCATGGTAGGGTGGGGGCTGGGGGCTGTAGGGATGTGGGGCTGGGTATTGGTAGGAGAAGGTAGGCAGCAGGGGCCAAGGGGTGGCCCCAGGCAGTGGAGCCAGGGTGTCCTGGTCTGAAGCCCCACTGGAGCCATCGTTGTCATTCAAGGACAGGTTGACTAGGTCTGGAAAGCAAGGAAAAAGAAGTTCCTTCAAAAGGCCATGACCTTAACATACTGAATGGAGAGGGACTGGAAACCATTTCCCCAGAACCACCCATGATGGGTGTTAGAATAGAGGGTTACAAGGAAATTCCCCACCTGCTACTGTTATCAGGGCAAGGGCACAGTCAGGGTTACCACTAGCCTATATGCTTTTGTGGGACTCAGGAAGAGGCACCCCTTCCCCTGGCTGACATAGCCCTAAACCCAGTACATGACTTGTCCAGCAGAACACAGGTGGATGTCAGCCCCAACCCCTCAGCCAGTGCTGGACCTGGTGCAGGACACATACTGCTCGACCACCCACAGAGGCTGTATTTGTGGGCCAGGTCTGGGGGTTGGAGAGGCAGGACAAGACAGGCAGAGCGACTCTCCCAGGGCCAGGACAGGGGAACTCACAGCTCTCACAGCCGCCACTGAGGTCTCCAAAGACATAATAGCACTGTTCAGAGAAGGTGATCTTGTTCACAGTGTGTCGGATCAAGCCTGCCTTTAGCAGCCCGCTGGCATACTTCCGGGCTTCCCGCCGCTCAGGAAAGCCCTCCACGTGATGGTAGAGCCAGTCAACCACGTCTGAGCCTGGGATGGCCCACAGTGGGAAAAGGCCTCAGGTTCTCCTCCCGAGTCCTGCCCTCGCCCGCCTGTGCCATTCCCACCTTTGGTCTCCTCTTCCTCCCCTTCCCATGCCACCAGCCCAGGGCCCAGCCATACCCAGAAAGGCATTAGGGATGGTGATCTTAAGCCACATGCGGTCCCGGACTTCCAGCCCAGACTCTGGAGCTGCCATGGCCTTGGTCACAGATGCCATGTCAGTATGGATGGAGAGACCACGGCTCTCACAGCCTGACAGGAGACAATGGGGAATCAGGGGTAGGGCCTACTCCCACGGGGGCGGCCGGTCAGACCACTGCCAAACAGCCTTCTGGCAGGGTGGGATGGAGTGGGCTGGCGGCTCACCATCAGGCAGAGAGGATCCAGATGTAATGGTGCTCATGGACGAGGAGCCTGGATAGGCTGGGAAGGTGCCAGTCAGCGCAGCAGAGTGTGACACCCAGGCAGCAGGGTCAATTGGCTGGATGGGCTCATCTGGAACAAAGAATGCCACTCGGTTGATCACTTCTACATCCCCGAAAGCTAGCCTTGTCCCTCCCTGACTCAGACTCCTGTTTTGCCTCTGCCTGGACCCCCCTCCACCCATTCCCTGCAGCCTAGAGCCCCAGGCCCAGCCCCAGCCTCCAGGACACGACCCCCTACCACTCCATCCCAGTTCTCTCAGCTTTAGGCCCCTCCCTGAGCATAACTTACTTCGGGGGAGGGTGAAATAGGCCTGGGGAGAGGGATCCCAGCACTTGGCCACAGTCAGCACAATGGGGCTGTGGGAAAGAGCAGGCCAGTCAAGGAGGGATGGGAAGAGGTCTGGGGCGAGGATGGACTGAGGGACAGAAAGAGAGAAAGAAGAAAAGAGTACATACACGGCTAGACCAGAGAAGGTGAGGGAGGAAGGCTCCACAGTGTGGATGACTCACTGACATGGATAACTTTTTTTTTTTTTCCCTTTTTTTTGTCTTTTTTACTGACCGGTAACGGGATCACAACCCTCGGTGTCGCGCCCGTACCGGGGACCGGCAACGGGATCGCAACCCTCGGTGTTGCGCCCGCACCGCAGCGGGAACTGGTCTCCACATGGGATCCGAACCCTCGGCGGGAGCGCCGCGACACTCCCAAGCAGCGCACTCTCCAGTGCGCCACCGGGCCGGCCCGACATGGATAACTTTTAAAAACACACGGCTGAGTGAAATGAGAGTGCACACTGCACTGGCCACTAACAAAAAGTTCAAAAACAGATAAAACTAAACCCTGTTGTTCAAGGATACATGCTCGGTGGGAAAACTATCAAGTGAAGCAAAGAATTTCTTTGTCATGGTTATGACCAAAAAGTCAGGGGAGTGATTACCCTGGGGTGGGGCGTGAGGAAGTTGTGGTGAGAAGGAACACTTGGGGGACAGGGATTTCTGGAGTACTGGCAATCTTCTACTTCACAATCTAGGTGGTGGTGACATGGGTTATTCATTAGAATTATTTACGTTCCGCGTTTTTGCTTTATTCATTTTGAATGTTATGCCTCATCACTTTTTAAAATTGCAAATAAAAGATGAAAGAGCAAAAACTAGAGAACTGAAGACCTGAAACCAGCTCAGAGGCTCACCCAGGCTTGTGCACAATGTCCCTCAGCACCCGCACAGCATCATCATTGCTCATGTTCTCAAAGTTCATGTCATTCACCTGGAAGTGAGGGGAAATGGGTCACAGGCTGGATGAGAGAGACTGAGAGCCCCTGCCCGAGGCGGCTCGGCAACCTCGCCCCAGCACACCTGCAAAAGCATGTCCCCTGGCTCGATGCGCCCGTCAGCTGCCACGGCACCACCCTTCATAATGGAACCAATGTAGATGCCTCCATCTCCCCGCTCATTGCTTTGGCCCACAATGGAGATGCCCAGGAAGTTGTACTTCTCTGTGGAGGGAGTCCATGTGAGGAGGGGAAGCCCAGCCATCTGACCCCCAGGAACGATGGAGAGCAGATCTTCTCCATTACCCCCAGCCTCAGGCTCCCTTCATACCCATGTTGAGTGTGACTGTGATGATGTTGAGAGACATTGTGGAATCCGTGACGCTGCTGAAGGATGAGGTCTGTGGTGGGAAAAGTGGAAGGAGGTGGACTGCCCTTCAACAACCCAGGGATAAGCCCTGGGGTTCTGTCTGTGACCCAGGACTGCCTAAACCAACGCCCATGCCCCCGACTTCTCCAAGCCTCAGCTGTCCCATGAGCATGCCTCACCCTCTCCAGGCGGGGTGGCCGCTGTTTCCTCCGCCGCCGGTGGCGCTTGAGGAGTCGGGAGGCGCTGCTCTGCTCTGTGGAGCTGCTGAACCTGTCAAGAGGTCGAGAAGGAGAGCACTTGTAGGCAAAAGTGGTCATGAGGCCAATAGAAAGGATAAGAGGACTGACTGGGAGGAGGGAAGAGATGGGCTAGAAGCCCTGGGGGAACGTTCGGAGCCCCACCTGCTCATGGCATCGTCTTCATCTGAGTCCCCCAGGCTGGTACTCTCCAGCTCACTGGTCATGAGAGTAGAGGAGCTCTCGTACCCAGCCAGGTGGCGCTCCAGCCTTGAGGGGCCACTGGGTCTGTGGCCCCCAGCTGTGTAGGAACAGGAAATTCAGGTGCCAGGCCTCCCTCAATGGTCAGGACCTGGCCCAACCCTCCCGGCCCCAAAGGCCTGCCCCTCACCACCATGCTCACTGCTATCTCTCCTGCGAGGCCGCTCCCGCCTCAGGGACACTACTGACTCGGTTTCTGTCTCAGGCTCCAGATTTTCATGGCTGCTGGACACATTAGGGCTAGATGGGCAGAGATGGTTTCCAACCCACATCAGAACAGGGCTTGAAATCCTCAGTCTCCCCTCCCAAGGGGCTTCAATTCCCTCCTGTCCTCCCTCCCCTGGACTCAAGAATCCCAAGGACTCACTGGAAGGAGGGAGGCCTTGAGTCCCCAATGCCACTGGTCCTCTCCGGTGGCAAAGGGGGTAATGGTGGGGGTGGAGGTGCCAGTTCCGTCCGAGGCTCATGGGCTGGGGGAGCCACCTCAGGCTGGGGGTTATCTGATGACACTAGCTAGAAGAGTGCAAAGGATAAAAAGTGAATGAACTGGGAGCTTTGGTATAAGAGATGGGAGTAAGGGAAAGGATTAGAAAAGAGACAAAGTCTGAGAAAGGCTGGAGAAGAACCGTAAAGAGCAGGGCAAGTTTAGAAGCTCCAGAAGGAGAAAGATAAGGGGCTCCCCTTGCCCTCCAAACAGGGAGGGAGGTAATGAGCCAGGGCCTCCAATGACTGGGTGGGTGGAAGGCTAAATAAACAGACTGAGGCGTGGAGGAGCCTGGCAATGCAGAGGGACCTGTGCCCTCAAAGTCATGGCCACTTAGGGCCAACCGTGTGGCTCACTTGGGAGAGTGCAGTGCTGGGAGCGCAGCGGCACTGAGAGCACTGAGGCCACGGGTTCGGATCCTATATAGGGATGGCTGGTGTGCTCACTGGCTGAGCGCGGTGCGGGCGACACCAAGCCAAGGGTTCCGGTCCCCTTGCCGGTCACAAAAAAAAAAAAAAAAGTCAGGGCCACTTACCCAGGATACCACCCTTCCATTGAAGCAGGGGAGGCGGGCATTGTCATCTGAAATTTCTTCCTTCACCACCCTACCGACAGACAGGACAGATAGAGGTCAGTGAGGCTGGACTAGCCACCCCCACCATCCCCATCCCAAGTTTCTCCTGATCTTCATCCAGCTCAAGGATGCTGACTTTCTCCTGCCCTGTCCAAGTCCTCTTCTCTTACGGTGAAACAATTTGCTCTTCCATCTAGAAAGTCTCCAAACTTAATTCCCTTTCCTTATTTCTCCTTCTCTCCCCAGCTCATCCTCAGAGGCATAATGCTGCTCCAAAGACTTTGTAGAGTCTGATTCAAACCTCTCAGTCCAATTTCAAAGGCCATATTCTACAGTTACCCAGCTGCCAAAAATATCCATCTAACTTAGGAGACTTGCTGGCACCCTCCCCCAATCCCATCCCTGTACCTTATACCACCCTCCCAAAGAAGGCTCTGGTCCTTATCTAAGTCTCTATCTATTCTTACACTTTCCTTTAGTTTTAATTCTTAGTTCTAATTCACTTCCAGAACTGTCCAAATGTGTTTTCTTTGCCTGGGTAAAAACACCCATTAGATCAAAGAATGGTACCTCCTCATTAGGCTGAGAGCTCCCAAGGAGGGGGGAAGCCTGGCTTTCCATTGCCCCGTGTCTCACCTGGCACCAAACTCTGCACCAAGCAATCTGCTTGGCCTGACAGATCCCAAATCCCAGCCTTAGGGATCACCTCTCCCATGGGTTCCTTGGGCTGACTGGACTTGCCCCTTCTACTCAACCACATCAAATCATTAATATCTGTTCTGTCCAATACCCTGTCCTGGACACACAGCACAGTACCTGACACTTGACAGGCATTTTAACAAATATCTGCTGACTAAATGCATAAACACACAAACCACAAGACTCTGCTCTCGTTCCTTCTCTCTCTCTCCTCCTCTCTCTCTCTCTCTCTCTCACACACAGCCATACCCCCAAATTAGGACATCCTGTCTGATTAACCCTTTAGCCTACTATGGTTCTGGGAACCTGGATATATGCCAACTTTATCCATTTGCTATCAATGTAACAACACAACCCAGTCACTACCAATCTATCTCAACATAATGTACTACTCTTCCCAACATAACACAACCTCAGCATAGCTCAACCTACTCCAAGTTATTAAGACAAGTTATTCTGTATCACATACCTTGTTATTGATTAGTTAGCCTCAATACTAATAATGACAATTACCACTCAGCAATAATTTACCATATACGGTGCACCTGAACTAATAAGCATTTTACTCCGTGATTATCTTCATGTCACAGATGAGAAGATAAGGCACAAGAGTTAAATTGCCCAAGATTACACTGCTGACAAATAGAAGAACCTTGATTTAAACCAAACAAAACTCCCAAGACAGCATCTCTCTCCCAATGTTGAACAATGTTTCTAGGTAGAGTCCAGTTTGTTCAGATCTCCAAGAATCCAGGCTATCCCAACCTAATCCAGCCTGCCTTCAAAAAAGCTGAAGTTGAGGACCCAGGGTTCAATACTAAAAACTATAAACACAAAAAGGTTTATTCTACATTACCTACAGGCCCAGGATAGCCCAGAGTGTCCCAAATTACCCCTAGCCCAATCTATTCTAGCACAGCCTACAATGGCCCCACATGCAGCTGTCTGTACCAACACAGACTAGAATATCCCAATAAAGCTGTCTGTACCGGCATAGACCCCTGAATTGAGTACCCCAATAAATATCTGGCCCCAAGAGAAACTAGTATCAAACAATACAACCCAGTAGAGTCCAGAATGGACCAAGTTTCTCCAGGGAAATGAACTTCACCGCAGCACAGAACATCCCAACACAGCACTCTTCACATTAGTACAGACTAGAAAGTCCCAAAACAATAGTTTACCCTAGTATAAGCCAGAATGTCCCAAGTTTCCATGTATAGCCCAATCTATATCAGGAGATTCCAGAATATCCCTACATATCCTGTGCGTTACAGGACTGCTCAGAACATACTAAACTACCAGAAGATAGATCTACCAGAATACAGTCCAGAATATCCCAAAATAAACCAGTGTGCCCCCCTCTATTCCAGCATAGCCTAATCTTCCCTGACGTGCTCTGGTATGCCCAGTCTGTCCTCCTACAGCTCGTGTGCCTCAATCTGTCCAAGCATAAGCTTGTCCGTCCAGGGACAGCCAGTCTACCTCAACATAGTACAGTCTGCTCCACTGTAGGCCAGAAAATCCCAGTGTGGCCCAGGATAGATCTACTCCGCTTAATAACGCCCAATCTACTCTAGCATAATCTAGGCCTCGCGCTCACCCGAAATCCTGATCCATAGACTTGAAAAAGTACTTAGCGCCTGCGGGCCGCTGCAGAACGCTCTTGAAATCGCCGAGGGTGATGCGCTCGGCGGGGACGGGGATCTTCACCAGGTAAGGAGTCTCCTCTTCATCCAGGTGGTAAATCACCTTCGTCTCCCCGACACCACCGCCCCCGGTGCTGCTGCCCGCCATGGTCTCGCCCGCGCGCTCGCGGGCTCCACCGCCCACCTAACAGGGCTAATCGCCTCCCCCCACCCCGCGCCTGCGCACACCCGCACACAGACGCGCGAGCTCCGATAGGGCCAGCCCAGTGCGGGAGAGGTGCAAAGGGACGAAGGCGGGAGTCAGAGGGTGGTGGCGGGGGGGACGGGCGGTGGAGCGCGACCCAAAGGCGAGGACTAGGCCGCCGCCAGCGCCGCGCGCCACCGCCGACGACGTCTGGAGCGCTCTCCGGATCCCCGCCCACCTCTCCCCATGTCACGTGACCTATGCCAGACCGCCCCCGCGCTCCACACAACGTCCCATCACGTGATCCCTACTCACGTGATAAATGTTCCGCCCAACCCCCACCACGTGATTAGACTTTGGCAACGGTCTCCCAACCCTAAATAGTCCCGCCCCCAAATGTGTCCCCACCCGCGTCCTCCAGGCATCCTGGCTAAGCTGGCCTCTCCCCTCAGGAAGCAGGCGACTGACTCCCACCCCGCTTCACTCCAGCCAGGTGGGGAGCGCGAAGCAACTCAGGCCCGCGAGAGTGCGCATGCAGGGAGTGAGGGTGGAGACTGTGGAGGTCCTAGTGTGGGATGGGGCGGGGCAAAGCCAATTGAGGTAACAGAGTTGGTTGGCATCCTGGGGTCAGAAAGGCCAGGTCATCTTCGGATTGGACTTGGAAAGGTGGGTTTCAGCCCCATCTCCGGTCAATGTTCTGATAGCTTTTCCAAAGCCTCCCTCAGAAGCACGACAGTCAGTGAGGGCTATGAACACAAAAGAGCCCACTCTGCTTTATTTACAACACGCAGGCTGTCTGTACAAACAGCTGGCCAATATTATTAAAAACAAAAGACGTGAGTGAGAATCGTCACCTTTCTGCTTTCCTTCCTCACTCAGCTAGGCTCTGGTACTCCACCTTTGAGCTGCCATGCCCAAAAGGGGAAGTCCAAAATTAAAAATACAACCGGTGTAGAAGAAAATAAACAGGGAGTGAAATAGAAGAAAAGATGGGGGGTGGGGGGAGTGCTATATTTACACTAGAGTTTTATAGACAACTGTCCCGTTCCATCCCAATTCCAACCCTGGCCCAGAAAGTGAGGAGTGGCAAGTCCAAGGGATAGATTGTGTGTCTAAGGACCCAGACATCCTCCCACTCCCAACTGTAAGGGGTCCAATTTCAAGTCCAGAGAGTGGGGAGGAAGGATAGGATAGGAACGTGAGACACTCAATTCCAAACAAGTCTCCCTTGCGAATTCCTGCCTTGCAGTAGAGACAGTATCCAAGCTCCAGAGGATAGGCTAAGGGCCCTGAGACTCAGTTCCCAAGTCATGTTGTCATTTGGAAGTTCCAGCCTAGAGTTGGTGATGTCAGGGCTCTCCAGATTTGGGAGGCCCCCCTAACCGCCGGGCCTCTGGCCGCAGTTCCTTGCATTTCTGGCAATAAAAGATGTCAGGGACATTGGTCTTCTTAATCTTAGCACAGGAGAGGTGGATCCACGTCCCACACAAGCTGCACTCAATCATGGGCCGCCCTGCAAAGGGCTTTCGACAGTAACACGTGATCAGATCCCATGAGTCATCACCTGGGGAAAAGAAGGTTTGTTTGGTGTTCTGCCTGAGCTCTTAGATCCACAACACCCCCAAACCCATCATCCCAGCTGCCCCTGGGCAGTCCCAAACCTCTCACCTGATTCTACCATTATGTCCTCATCCATGACCCGCGTCTCGCCTTCACTGGAGCTGGCATCTCCATCCTGGCTTGTTTCAGTGCTTCCCACCTCCTTACTTTCACCGTCAGTGGGAGGGACTCCTTCAGGGTGCACCAAGGCAGGAGGCCTAGGAGCCTCAGGGGGTGTTGGGAGAACAGGGGCTGGGACTTCACCCCCTACCACTGCTGCCATGTCTTCCTCCTCCTCTTCTTCCTCTTCCTCCTCCTCCTCTTCAGAGTCTGTGTCACTGGGGGGTGCCCGGGGAGGACCAGGGGGTGGGAGTCTATCCCCCCGCTCTGCCTTTTTCAACTTCCGCTTCTTGCTCTTCTTGATTCGAGACCTCTTTTCCCCATCCCCAGGAGCTGGCCGAGGCCGCCGAAGCACCCCAAAGCCAGCTCCACCTCCTGGTCCCAATTTTCGGTTCTTTCGGTCCTTCTTTCGAGGAGGTTGGGAGAGGTCACCCTGGGAAAGGGTCATGGGAGTGAGAGCAGCAGGAGGCCGGGAGGTATGTGTCAGGGATGCGGGGGACAGTGGAGACGCCATTTTGGGCCCATCCAGATCAAAAAGAGAGTCCTTGAGTTTCATCTTCTCAAGCAAGGTAGCACTGTCAGGGGCCTGCAGACGAGAGAAAGTGGACCTTGGGGGTCCTGGCTGGGTAGGAGCTGCCTGAGCCGCCCTTCTCTTGGATGACTTCGCTTTCTTAACAAACGTCTGAATGGTTCGAAGATCTGAGGGAGCTGAGTCCCAGCCATCACTGTCTGCAGCACTCTCACCTCTCAATGGAGAGCTGGAGCCAGAAGCTGGCCAGTCGTTTTCCTTAAAAGGGGGAAAAGGCCAGGGTCAGCAAGAGCTGAGTGTCATCTCAGCCCCTCTACAAATCCAGCCTGAAACCCAGGAACTTAGATCTACTCCCAAATATCCTACCCCAACCACCAAATTTCACACTATACTCAGAAAACTTATCCCCACTTCAATTCCCATCAGAATCTCCTCTTGACTACTTACTTCCATGTTATCTTTGTCTTCAGGTTTTAGCCATTTCCCCACTGCCTCCTGCCTAGGGCCTTTGGAACACTGTATTGCCCAGACCAGAGACATTTTTTTTAGCTGTTTCTGTACAGCCTTTTTTGTTCCCATTTTCAGTTCCCTAAAACTTATCCAAGAACACCTTCCATTAACAGAACCCTAAAACCATTCCAAAACCTTGAACCATGCCTCCAAATCCTCTCTCTCACTCACTGCTGCTTAAATCAGCCATCTCTATTAAGCCCCCTTCCACACCCGTTTCCCACCCCAGCCAAAAGGGTTTTCAATTTTCCTAGTTTTACATCATTTGATTTCTGGTAGGCTCCTCTTATGAAATAATACAGTCCCATTTGCACAACAGTCCTGGGATACCAGCCTCAAGTCACTTGTTCCCCTGTCCCTACCTCTTTGCTGGGCGGGATGTAACCAGCATACGCCAAGACAAAACTGCAGAATTTGTTGAAATCCTCAATTGTTCTCCGCCGTTTTTCTGGTGGCTGAAAGGAAGGAAATGGATCACATGAAGCCAGACGAGTTTAAGGGCATTCCCAAAGCCACAGTCCCTAAAGTGCGGAATTTAGAAAAGTGGGGGGTGGGAGGTCGTTGTTAGGCAGTGATATTAGGCTGCAAAGGTAAGGGAAACCTCACCTGAGTCTCTGGCTTAAGAGTTGGAGGTGGATCTGTAGAGGCAATGAAAGCTGAGTCAAGGCACTAAGAAACCGTCTGTGTAAAACCTCACCTCTAAAAACCCTGGAGGACCCAAGCGAATCCCCTCCTGGGCCAGGTCCCTCGGCCAGGCCAGCAGGCCCCCAGCTGTGCTGGACCCACCTCTGCTCCCCCTTCCGCCCCACGAGGGGCGGAGCCTGGGCGCGGCACCCTCTCCAGCCTCGTTATACCGCTCCCCCTCCCCCCAACCGGAGGCCAGGCGCCCCGCCCCCCCTCACGGTTTGTCTAGGTCTACTCGGCTCTCTCAGCGCCCCACCCCGCCGTACCGCTCCCGGGGCCGAGCCCGGGCCGCCGCCCGCCTCCGGCCTTCACACGCGCCCAAAGCCCCGAGTTCCTACCCGGCCGCTCTCTACCTCCCCAGGCCCTCCAAGAGCGCACACACGCCGCCTGCCGGCACCCAGGGTCCAGGATGACCACGATGAACCGCTCCCCGCCCTCCGGCCCCTTCTACTCGAACACGAGGCCCGGCGCGCCCCTCAGCCCCGCCGCAAACACACACAGGCACACACGTCCGACGCTACTTGGTGTCCGGGACAGATCAGAGCTCTAGCCCGGACGCGGCCCCACCTGCCCCTCCATACCGCGCTCCCCACAATTTCGCCGTCCCTCCGCCCCCATCCGGGGCTTTGGCCCCTCCCCGTCTCGAGCTCCTCGGGCTCCCTGCCGGGCCCCCGGGCCCTGTTCCGAGCTCTCTCCGGCCGCCGCCCCCCCCCGCCCCCGTACTCACCATCAAGTCATTAGGCTCCGGACCCCTAAACTCTAGCCCCTTCCCCCAACCAGCTACTCT